TTTATATTATTATTATTATTATTCTATGATGTTTATAAACTTCTTCACTGAAATAGTATCATACTTCATAGTGGTCTTTTTTTTTTTTTACTTTATTTCAACAATAAATTTTGAATGAAATGATTAAAGTCACGACTGAGAATTATTTTCATTATTCTTATTATGTATTTTGTATATTCATTATTAAATGTTCAAAATTCATCGTTTTTTTTTTTTTATTATTATTACGATTATGTTAAAATGAATTAACAAATAATAATTTTGTTTTTTTTTTTTATTTTCATTTTCGATTAAATATATTTTGCATTCAATATGTATTTGATGATTATCATTTATATATAAATAGTTAAATAAATTGTGATTAAAATTATTCAATTTTTGCAGATATGAATACAAATATTTTAACTATGTAATTTATGATTTATTCCGGAAAAGTTTATTCCGGATTTCTATTATCACTGATTGATTATTCGTATACTAGCATCACTAGCAAAATCAATTAACAAATACTGAATGCTAATTGATTTTTTCTGATAATTTTGGAAATTTTTAATTGTTTGCATTTTAATTACTAATTAATAGTAAAGTTCTATAATTTTAATTAATAATTAAATAGTAAATTCCTGTAATTTAAATTAATAACTAATAGTTAAATTTTATAATATTTATAGAATAATACAAAAATTGTTGCATATTTGTTAATACTTTTTTATCATTTTATCATTTCCATTATTCGATATTATCATATTTCTCTTACATTAATATCATTTAGTTTCACTCTATTCTCATTACAAAATCATTTTTATTCAACAAATCTCTTTTCTATTATTATCAGTTATCTTTAGATTAAGAAATTTGATAAAATTATTAGCTAATTTGACTGATCGATCGATTGATCAATTAATCGATTGATTAATTGATCGATTGATCGGCATGTCATTACGTATTATTTGATTCATTCAATAAATGCTCATATGAATTATATATGAGAATAGAATGTTGCAGTAAATATGAAATGAAAATGTATCTTTTGAATATATTTTAAAATTATCTCTCTTCCAATGAAATTCTGTATGTCACATACAAATTCTGTATGTCACATACAAATTCTGTATGTCACATCATTTTTAGCATTTTTTTTTTTTAAATATAATTTAAAATTAAAACGACGACAAAGTAAACAAATAATATTTTTTCAATTCTTTATTATCAATAAAAATATATTACTACCAAATATTAATATCATTCATATATGTACATGCACATACATACATACATACATACACATACATACATGCACATACATACATACATACATACACACATACACATACATACATACACGCATTGTTGTCAGTAGTAGTTTGTGCGATTGCAAATTGAAATGAGAAAGAACCGGCTCTTCTCTCTTTTCAGTATTTCCCACTTTTTTCATCCTTTCCACCTGTCTTCTGTCCTCAAATCATGCTTTATACATATTTACAGGTGTGTGTGTGTGTGTGTGTGTGTATGTATGTGTCTGTGTATGTGTATGTATGTGTGTATGTGTGTATGTGTGTGTGTGTGTGTATGTGAAATTAACACCTTTTTTTTTGATAACTTTAACTCAAATTACTCTTCATTTCTATTTCTTATCAATATGTCACTTAATTATTTTGGCAGTATTTTTATAAATGAAATACCATCAAGAATGTACAAAGAGAGAGAGAGAGAGGCAGAGAGAGAGAGAGAGAGAGAGGGAGGGAGAGAGAGAGAGATTGATGTTGTTATTAACACTTAATAGTATAGCCTATCACATTAATGTTTTGTACTTTGTACCATTTTCAATAATAATAATAATAATAATAACATAATCAATATCTGTTATCATTTACTATTATCATTTATCATTTATCAGCATTGTTTATCATTATAATCATTAATTTATCACTATAATTGTTAATACTAAAAATGTTCATACAGGAAAGGAAGTAATTTCTGGAAAAAGAGCGCATTCTCATCGTTTTCACATCCATTTCATCGAGAAAAAAAAAAAAAAAACGAAAAATTCCAACGTCCCATTTGCACCAATGGCCATTGAAACAAACAAGTATTGTTGGGTGGGTGGGTAGGTGGATGGGTAGGTGGGTGGGTAAGTGGATTGCTTGCACTCATCATATCCATCTGTATGTATGTGTATGTGTATGTGTATGTATGTATGTATGTATGTGTATGTGTATGTGTGTGTGTATGTATGTATGTATGTGTGTGTATGTATGTATGTATGTATGTGTATGTATGTGTATGTATGTGTATGTGTAATCCTGTTTGGAGCAAAAATTCTCATTTCATTAGGTTAGGTTGATATTAAAATCAATGGTGCAACAACGACAGCGAAATTCTTTCTAACCGTATCTAACCTCTCTCTCTCTCTCTCTCTCTCTCTCTCTCTCTCTCTCTCTCATCGTTTCCGCCCACGCCTCTAGCAACCACCCACGCTTTTCTTTCTATTAGTTAACTAACAAACTAACTGTTTTGTTACCTTCATTTGGTATGCTTATTATCAATAATTATTATTCAATTTGAATATTTATTTATATGCATAGCTGAATTATTGATTTTTTTGTTTATCTCTCTACCATTTTATCAATATTAACTGATAATATTTGAAAAAAAAAAAAAACACCCAAAGATGAAAATTAATTTTGGTACTTTTTAAATTGCTAAAAATACTACTATAAGATTATATAGTAAGAATAGAATGATAAATTTGTGATGAAAATATTATATTAAGCATTTCTTAGCTTGAAATTTTTTTTTTTAATTTTAATAAATTTTTTATTTTTCTCTTTTTTGTTTGTTTGATTATATTTTAGTATGGAAATGATATTAGAGTTTTGATAGTTTTTTTTTTTTTAATGGCGGAAGCTATTGCGGAGGAAAGTAAAGTATGCGGTAGCGGAAACAATTCGTTTTATAAAGTTATCCATTTTTATTCAAAAATTTTGCGGAAAAATAGAGATGGCAATTTCCACTAGACACTATTGTAATTTATGAATTCATCTTTTTGGTGTAATATATTAGTTTATTTGCTTCCTTTTCCTCTCAATTTCTTTTAGTTTTATGTCTGTTTAGCATCGATGTAATAGGCTTTTCCTTCCTTTTTTTTTTAAACATGGATGAATGTTTCGTTTTAGTTTGAAATTGCTTTTCACAAAATACATCAATTTGCTGCTTTCTCTTCTTTCACATCAAATTTTCTTATTACTCTCTCAAAAGGTCATTCCATCCATCCATCCAACCATTCATTCAAACATTTGTAAGAAAGAATGCATACGTCACCATGAAATTTCTGTCTTTTTTTTTTTTTTTTTTCCAAAAAAAAGAAAAATTAATAAAAATTATAAAATGAAATAATCGAGAAAAGGAAGTGAGAAAATTTTAGATGTAAAAATGAAAACTTTTTTATATATGAAACTGTTATATAGTAGCATGTTTATATTACCGGAAATTGAAAGTTGTTTGGGAAGTTATGTTAAAATTAAGTGAAAAGGTGGTTTAAATAGAAATGAAGAATTTAAAAAAAAAAAAAAGAGAAAAAAAGGAAAGAGGTAAAAGAGGGAGGGAGAGGGTTATAGGATAGCCATTGATGGAGTGAAATAGAAGAGAAAATTTTATATACGGAAAATTGAAGAATGGAAAAAAGGTTCGGTATGGAGCGGAAATGATCGTTCCTTCTTTCATCATTGCATTATTTATATTTTTTTTTTTTTTTTGAAAAGATGACACTACTGCATCATCCATAGAAACTACGATACAATGATGACTCATCGGAAATGATCCAATGATGAAGAAATGAGTTAATTATTCTGTTATAATTAAAACTTATCCAATTAATTTTAGGAATGATTAAACTTTATTCAGATCATTTTAGGAATGATTATAAACTTTATTCAGATCATTTTAGAAATGATTAAACTTTATTCAGATCATTTTAGGAATGATTAAACTTTATTCAGATCATTTTAGGAATGATTAAACTTTATTCAGATCATTTTAGGAATGATTAAACTTTATTCAGATCATTTTAGGAATGATTAAACTTTATTCAGATCATTTTAGGAATGACCTGAATAAAAGGTAGCATTTTTAATTTATTGAATTAAAAATTTGTGAAAAAAAAAGAAAATTAAAAAAAGATAGCATTTTTAATTTATTGAATTAAAAAAAAAATTATTGAATTAAAAATTTGTGGATGGAAAAGTGTAGAAGGAATGAAATTATTAAGTAGAAATATGATACGACTAGATTAAATGCTAATTTTTGTGACTATAAAGTGGGAATAGTTAGTTACAAAGGGAGAAGGATTTTAATAGCCTTCAGAAAGCATTTTAGAGAGAGAGAGAGAGGGAGAGGGAGATAGGAAGAGAGAGAGAGAGAGTATTTTATAATAATAATAGCTAATCATTTCATTTGGGCCTAATTAACTGCAACATCCATTTGTTCCCTTTTCATGAAAAAGAAGCCTAATAGAATATCTCTTTTACTCTTATTATAACTTTCTTTCATTTCTCTGATTTTCATGAAATATTCTCCATTACTATTATTGTTTTACTTCTTCTCTTCTTCATAGACTCTTCTCCCTCTCTCTCTCTCTCTCTCCCTCTCTCTCTCTCCTTTAGCCTGATTTTAGGCCTTATTCTTTCCATTTCTCTCATTTTCATTTTGTTGCTTTCCGTCCTATTGCATCTGCTACGGGGTCATATGGTGTAATCGATGATCAGTCAATCTGGTCGACATTATAGATGACCAGGACGGATCGATGTAATTGTTGGATAGACGGAATGAAATGACCAGGACGGATCGATGTATTACTGGACAGACGGAATGAAATAACCAAGGTGGGGTCGATGTATTATTGGGAGAAGGATGAAATGACCAAGACGGATCGATGTAATTATTGGACAGACGGAATGAAATAACCAAGACGGATCGATGTATTATTGGGCAGACGGGATGAAATGACCGTAGCGGATCGATGTATTATTGGGAGACGGAATGAAATGACCAAGACGGATCGATGTGTTATTGGGAGACGGGATGAAATGACCAAGACGGATCGATGTATTATTGGGAGACGGAGTGAAATGACCAAGACGGATCGATGTATTATTGGGAGACGGAATGAAATGACCGTAGCGGATCGATGTATTATTGGGAGACGGAGTGAAATGACCAAAACGGATCGATGTATTATTGGACAGATGGAATGACTGAAATGACTGATTGCAATGAGTGAGGAGGATTGTGTGGTTTAGCTCGTGTTGACTAATTTCAACTGAACACTTTACGATGAATCTTTTTCGCTTTTTCATTTCCATTTTTCTTATTTTCATGCTTACTTAATGAATTGTCCATTTTTATAAATTATAATTAAATAGCAATGCATCAATGTTTTTAATATAAACAAATGAATAATTAGCATATATAATGTTATATTTGAAATAGAATTGAGTAAAATTATAAATAATATAATGTGTGTGTGTGTGTGTGTGAGTGAATGTACTTCAAACATTGTTTCATTTTTATAAATTTGTCTCATTGGTTTGCTAAAAGTGAAACAAAGCGGAAAATTTGAAGGAAATTAGATTATCTAAATTAAATATAAGGAGTTTTTGCTTACAAACTGATTTATTCATTACAAGTATTCCTTTAGGCATTTTAGCATATTATGGTTTATTTTCATGCTTCATATAACAAATTTCAATTTTTAAAATTGGTGAGATAAAATTACTGATACGAATGTGATGATAATAATAACAGTAATCAATTTGTTATCAGTAGGTTATCATTAATGTATTGGTAATTGTTTACAGCATGTTTTGCTATATTTAGCATATAAAAATTGGATAATTAAGAATATAAATTTAATTTTTATTGATTTATTTTTTATTAATAGTATTTTGAACTTTATTTTGCATTTGCTGAAAGTATAGCTGTTAACAGTTATTATAATTTTTGATTTGGATAAAAAAATGGTTTGGCTTATTGGTTAGAAGTGGAATTGAAATTCTGCACTGTTAAATCTCAACAAATATCATTCTATGCTATCACACTTTTATCACTTTTTTGATTCTTATTCAAATATAATTCTTCCCGTAATGATTATTTATTGTAATTGCAATTTGTGATAACATTAATGATAATAATCTGTACTGAAATTTTTTTTTTTTTGTTGTTTAATTTTAGATTTAATTTTAGATTTGTTGTTTAATATAAATTTAATTTTTATTGATTTATTTTTTTTAAAATTTAATTTTTTTAATTTTTATCATTTTAATTTTATCGATTTATTTTTTTTTTTATAAATTTAATTTTTATCGATTTTATCGATATAAATTTAATTTTTATCGATTTATTTTTTTTTTATTTTTTAATTTTAGATAAGCTCTGTGATATTTTGGAGAAAGCCGTTGTTTGGTGTGTACCCAGTATTTTCTGGCTGGCAATGTATACTTCTGTAAAAAGGAATGATTATCATCGGATATCACGAGAGATCCGTTTGGTGATCCCTCATTATAATACAACAAGCAATTGTTCCCAATAATGATCTGTTGGAAGCCAACAATGACTGGAAAAACAACACAGTGGCTTTGGTGGTCTACTCTGATATTTCTTCTACTCAGGGCTACAAAAGTATGATTTGTTTATTTTGTAGCCTTGTTGTCATAAATTTTTATTTCAAGAAGTAAATTTGAAATGAGAAAAAAAAATCAACAAGATAATATAATAATCTGGAACGATAAAATAATCACTTTTTGAATCACTCTAATAAATAATTAGTATTAGAAATTTTGTAAATTAGATATATGGTAAGAATAATAAAAAAAAAAAAATGATAAAATTTTTACAGCAATTTGGTGTAAGACGAATGGTAAACAGTGATAAGAATGATAATATGGATGATAAAAGCATATGGTATTCGGAAAATATTAGTGTAACACGTCTTAAACCACAACCTAAAACACCCAGCGAATTGAGTAAATTTTTATTCCATCTTTTGTTTAATTTTATAACAAACATATCACCAAAATTAAATTGTCTTTTGTTTTTCTCTCAGGATAACCATAATGGAAATTTAGTAACTTTTTCAAAAGAAATGTTTCAGAGATACCAGAATGTGAAGATTCAATCAATGATTGTGCATATGGTGGTAAATGCGTTACTGATTCAAATGGTTACAAATCTTGTCTTTGTCCAGCAAGTTGTCCGGCATGTGGGTTTTTTTTTTTTCAAATTTTTTTATCAATTATTACCAATTTAGTGAAGAATCTCGTAGCTTACCATCTATGACTTAGTTTTATCTAATTTAATTGTTTGCAAAAATTTTGTTGTTCTAAATGATAAATCGAATAACACGTTTTGTTGTTTTATATATTCATTCTAACGAGGAACTACTAGTATATTTTCATATTTTGGATTTCTAGAATAGATATTGATTCAACTTACAGTTTATTTCAGCAATTCCGGTGTCATGCCGTGCTGGCAGGCAGGATGATTATTGCATGTCGATGAGTGATGATTACAGAGATAGGTATCTACTACCGGAACCTGCTTGTCATATGGTTTGTTATATTTTTATTTTACTCATTTTCAGAACTGTCTTTTTTTTTTTTGAAATTTTTATTTTTACTTAATTTGATCAGTATGTGAGATGAGACGGTCGCATGATCCTTGTTGTAAAAAAAAAAAAAAACTGAATATATATACGGTGGAAAATTTGTTTCTTGAGAAACAGATTATAAGTTATTCTGAATAAATGTAAAAAATTTTAACATCCGGTTTATGGTTCATTTATGGTTGTGGTTGCTATGGTGTTATGCTTCACAAATAAATTTATTTGCATATAATTTTTAATAAATTGTATGTAATTACAGCCTTTTCTAAAAATTTAAATTGTAATTTGAGGAATGGGCATTTTTTTCTTTTTGAAAAATATAAAGAAGAAAACCTTTTATTTAGTTTGAAATTCTTATCTCTCCCAAAGGATTCTGCAACATTTCTTATATTCTGTTAGAGATATTGGTTTTCTTTTATTGATCCAACTATTTTTACTAAATTAGTACACTTTGAAATTTCATGACCGGAAACTGAACGTTTTAATCTTAATTATTTCAAAGCAAATACATTGCTCAATTTACCAATTTGCCGAATGTTGACCTTGAGTTCTAATGGTTTGATGAATCGATTAGATAGTTGAATTTTACATTCCAGAAGAGCAAGTTTGAAACCGGAACTTGTTTCGTAAAAGTTGTTTGTCATTTAGTTTCTTCTATCATTATTGTTTTTTTGAAAATATTTGAAATGAATTTTTGCGCTAAATTCGCTATTTTTTATCCGGGACTAATAAGTAGTGATAATTACTTTTTGTTAATGAACTTAATCCGAAATCGTTATTGAAATTAAGACTTACTGTCATTCTGACTTATAGATGTTCGAGATGTTTCGAGTTATCTCCATATCCTTAGAGTTGATCGAAGTCAAGTGCTTTTATTTAATTTCGTTCATTGAATATCACTAATTAAAAAGGCATTTCTGATCAATCGATGGATCTTGTGAAGAAGATTTGAGAGCAAACTTTATGCATAAATGAATATGGAGATTTGAAATGAAATGAAATTGTTTCGATCTTAGCTTCATTTAGATTGTTTGTCAGTACATTTCACAGAAATATCAAAAAATCTAGCTGAAATAAGATTAGGAGAAGAACATTCATTGTATCCAAGTTTTGTTACCATTGATACTTGTTCATTGTCTGTAACTGATAGTAACTTTTCAGGAATTAGTAATGATTTTTGGAAATTGATATTTACATTCATACGAGATTGAATTTACTTACATTGCTATTCTTTAAATTTTTAGCACTGTACATTATAGGGGATTTGTGTTTGTCCTCCAATGTTTGATCCGTGGAGACTAGAAGGAGCTATTGAATTACTTCCGTTTAAATGTGATCGAAGTATGTTTTTATTTTTCCATAAGAATTAATAAATTTAATCTGTTGTGGAATTTGCTGCTTTCATTTGAAATTATAACATTGCTACAATGCTGGAAATAATAAGAGATAGCGAAATTGATAATGTTAAGGATAAATTATAAGGAATTTAATATAAATAAAAAGAGAACAATGGGCTTATTTAATCGTTTAATTAGAGCTTTTTTGATTTCCTAACATACAGCTCATACATGTGCTGTATTTTCTGAAACATATTTTTTTCCTTAAAAATTTCTTAAAATTATTTGTGATTAGTTAATTTGTTGATAAATTTTGGAAATGGAGTAATTGCAGGAGAATTAATGGTACAGGGACGGGCGCTTCCATCCGATTCTGTTTATCAAGGCACAGATGCCAGTTTATTTTGTTGTATCAATATGGATCCGAGATCATTTATTGATGATGATGGAGTGTGTTCTCAATATCTTTTGCTATATTTAATTTTAAAAATATCGCAAAATTTTACTTTCGTAGTTTTGTTTCTAACTTTAACATTTTCATTATATTGTGAGAAGCATATAGTTAATAATCTTTATGGAAAATTTTTCATGATCTATGTTTTAGATGCAAGATTTTCGATTTTCTTGAATTACATATCTGAAATATAGTTTTATGTAGATGGTTGGGTGATCCATTCGAAATGCTTTCATATATTAGTCAAATGAATATTTGCGAATAGATGATTAATAATACAAATAGAAAATGCGGTTCTTAAAAATTTGCAAAAATTGTTGATTAATCTTTAATTTTGTTTTTACAAATGTAAGGAGAGGAAAAATTGGATTTTTAGGTGGATTTTATACAGAATTCATCAATCATACGTGAACCAACCAATACACCATACGATGAAGTTTTCACCGATGGCATTGAACCACCACGTTGCTGGTCACTGGAAATTAAGAATGCACAATATAGTGATAGCGGAACATATCTTTGTCACGTGAAAACAAACGGTAAACACGAAATCAACACCAATCATACGATCAATTTTTTCGTTAAAGGTACGATTAGTTTCATCATTTATTTATCGATTGATTTTATTGTTGACAGATTTTAAGCTTATGCAGTGTTGTCTAAAAATAAGTCATATTTGTTGTGAAATATGAGATTTGTTACATTCGAAATATCCAGTCAAATTCATTGGGATAGAGATGTTCAGGAATAATTTTAGTTACACTTTATATTTTTCCTCCCATTTTTAATTTTGACATTTATTTT